ACATTCAGATATTCATGTGTTGCACTAAATCAGGCTGACAGCTGGCTCTGGAACTGAGGCACAGTATTTAATCACAGAATAGATGCAACAAGCAGAACCATCAGTCCAAATTTCCCACGGTACCTTACTAATTGCCTCATTTTTAATATACAGTCAGCTCCTTGCAACTTGTATTCCTGGTTTCCACAAGCACTTGCTGTCAAATGATCCTGAAAATAATTTCATTCCGTGTCTCCAAACCATCCCAGAAGTCCCACATTTGCCAGAAAGCAATGGGCTGGTTGGTGAGGTTTTGGGGTGGATGGCTGTGGCTGTATTTACCTGCTGAAGCCAAGTGGCCACTTCTGAGCTGACATTCACAGCCTTCATCCCACCAGTGCAGCTCCTCTGGGAGAATCCCCAGCCTCACACTATTAATAGTGTGAGTTCCAAGTATCCAGAGCTGCTCAAGAGCTGGAGGAATGTGGCTGTTGGCAGGGGAGGGTTTGATCCCATGAGAAAACCAGAAAGGCTTCTCTGCCAGTTCCCAAACCCAGCATTTTCTGCATCAAGGAGGGCTGGCAGCTGGAAGAGTTAACGGGGCAGTGGCTGTGCAGAAGATGATGAAGGAGGAGCAGCTCAGCCCCCTCTCCCCGAGTCTCCCACTGCTATCAGATATTGCCTCCCGCCAGCCTGCTCAGCACAGGGAGACAAAAATCCCTATTGACAGAAGTCCCCTGCAGACAGGGCCCTCTGCTGCAGAGCTGCTCCAGTCTGGAGTGCTGGAAACCTATTTTAAATGACAACAGAGCAGTAATGCTATGGGAAGATCTTGTGTAGAGTTTTCAAGATTGGGGCAGGGAGAAAACAAAAGTACAGCCTTGTATTGACAAATATTGTCAGACATTTGAGGACTCTGTTCTCCAGTGCTGATTTTTGCTAACACTTCCAGGGCATCAGGGAATGCTGGCATTGATGAACACTAACCACAGGAAATGGCTGGTCTCAAAGACGTGGCTGATGGTATGGACAATAACAGGATCGGGTAATGCATGGCCACCAAATTAATAAGCATTTGCATCCTCAGCTTTAACCTTCACTCTCAGTCATCAAAAATAAAAAAGTAAAAACTCAGTGAACAATCTGCAGTGGTAGAGGCAGGATTATTAAAGGATTATTTGAGAAAGAGCAAGGAGAAGGCAGTACATCATCAGAATCTGGGATCACTACTTTGATTTGCTGTTGAAACCTCTATGTATTTTGAGATCTCAAACCCCAAAACAAAGCTTAATCTTCACTTAGGCACTACAGTTGCCTCCCTTATCATGTTATCTGAGTACATCACACTCTAATTATAGTTGTCTGAACAACACTTAGTGAGATTGGGAAGTACTAACCTTGCCAGAGAAGCCCTTGAACACAGAGTAGAACCAAGTCAGAAATGCTTTTCAGTTCCTAATTGCCAGGTAAGTATGTTGCAGCCAGTGGAAAAAAATTGTTCTTACACCATCAGCAACACTTCAGAAAATTTACCTCTTCATTATCATTAACGCAGATCCTGAAGTCCTAGCTCAAAATTCAGAACAAAATTTTTGTTATTATGAGGGGAAAAAATGCATTCTAATATTTGTATTTCTAAAAGCATCATTAAAAACGTATCAGTAATCATTCAAAGAAAGGAGTAATACAGCATCTCGGTGGGATATTATATCTCACTCTCAAGAGGTATCTAGAAGTGCTTCTCAATATTTTAGTATCTGGTAGGCAGTGATTTCAGTTTATTTATCTCTCTCTAGTGGGTACAGCAGTAGGAGTTAAATATTCCATCTTCCTCTCCCAAGGCTATAAGGGACTGTATCCACAAACTCAAGCAAGAAGGAAAATCTCTCTCCCCCATCCCCTCCTGGGATGGGAAATGGTTTTGTGTGCCTCAGTGAGTGTGGACATGTGGCCGTGTTTGCCTTTACATTTCTTCAAGGCAGCTCCTGAGAAGCCTTGGGGAAGAGGTTCAAGGAGCTCAGCCCTCGTGCAGATGCTTGCAGAATGATTGCTACTGAGTTTAATTGAGTTTCTCCTTTTCTGTCACCTCTGCCATTCCATGACTTTTATTTTTTATGCATTGCTTTACATGCCAGGGCATGGAGATGAATATTCCACCAAAGTCCAGCTTTAACTTGCTTCTATTGTTTATGTATAAATACAACTCAGACTCTGCTGTCAGCTTTTAGAGCTGACCACTGCTTCAGTAGCTTCTCCAGCTAGTTTTGGTAAATCAAAGTCCATCATTATGAAGAGGTATTGTTACTTTTCCTAGCAAGCCTTTATTTCAGATACTTTGTGGATTGAAAGAGGCCTCAATACTGTGTAGATCACCAGAGTTCTTGATAACAACTTCAAGCCTCACTGAGAGTTTAATAAACTGTTCCTGAATTACATTGAACTTTTTAAGTTTATGGAAAAAAGTTATTCAGTCTGTTGCTGTTATTAGCTATCAAACATCACTGACACTAGAGAGAAACCTTAACAAGTATGTCAGGTCTGAACTACATAAAAAATACTGGGGAGAATATTTTGAATTCCTAGGCTTGACACAGGTCCGAATTTCAGTTATTTGAAATTTCTATAATAATTTAGCCACATAAATAATGACCAATTAATAATGATCAATCCCAGTATTCCTAAAAACTGAAAATGAACTCTAAAACTCATCCAGATTTTTCTGAGGGAGAGGATAGGGCAAAGAGGTGAGTAACCTGTTTTTTACCTCTGCTAGGCTTGCTAATACTCTTTCATGTGAAAGGAAATGAAAGTCTCATCAGTGCTGTCCTCCTGCTGCATTCCAGCCCTGCTGTGGAAGGAATCATGGCCTCTGTGAAAGTTCTGCTCAGGGGCCCATTTCACTCAGCAGTTTAATTATGTTGAGCCATTTTACAGAGCCCAAACCCCTCCACCAGTGCTGCAGCTTTGAGAACGTTTTGGTCTTGCAGGCTCCTCATTGCTGAGTGAGTTTCTGGACTGAGGTGTTTGTTTGGGCTGTTGCCATGTGCACGCTCTGAACGTGCCAAGGGAGCCTGTGGTGGGGACACAGAGCTCCCCACTTCAGGCATCTCCCTGTCTGCACTGCAGCTCAGTGACCTGCTCACTTCTACTTTTATATCAGCTCTGGATAAATTCAGCCAACTACCTTAACCTCTATTGGAGAACCATAAAATCACAGAGTGGTTTGGGTTCAAAGGGATCTTAAAGCTCACTCAGTTCCACCCACACTTTCCACTGTCCCAGGCTGCCCTGTCCAACCTGGCCTTGGACACTTCCAGGGATGGGGCAGCCACAGCTTCTCTGGGCACAGGGAGGAATTTTGCCCTTTATCTCCTCTAACCCAGTGTGAGAAGGACACAGAATACAGCACCTACAGACAGACAAGCTGCACAGACTGAGAGAGGGCCCCACCCATACACACACAAGCACAGTCACTGAGCAGCCTATTTCCATGGGAATTTAGGATGGGAAAATTATTTAGACTTTTTTTTTTCCCTTAATAAATATGATAAAAATCACACTCTGAATGTATTTCCTGTAAATTGCACACCTTAATGAACACTGAATGAAATGACCATCCAGTCTCAGAGGGTCTGTAATGTTGGGGGTGATTCAGTTCTGTTGTGTGAACTGCCATGAAAATAAGCACTGGAATCTTTAAAATCTGAGTTCTGCACTGCCTTGCCTGAGAGCCAGGAGGGGCAGCAGCCCCTGTGGTGGCCAGCACAGGATGCTCGGGCACACAGGCTCAGCAGGAGCAGGCCCAGCTGAAGTGCTCTCCCCACCTGGCAGCCAGGACAGGTGTGTCACTTCCAGATGTGACATGAGCCACTTGCATCTTGTTCCCAGCCTTTGAAGTGCTGTGCAGAGAAAGCCTGAGCCGTGGCTGCAATTAGAGCTGATACATCATTTACTGGAAGAATTTAATGCGCTGTAGTAGCAAACCTGCAGTTGACACTCACAGGGTGCAATTTAAATCCTCCGGATTAGTAATTCTTTTGAGATTTTTGTAATCATTGGTAATAGGTAGTGAAATAAATCCACATTTATATCCTACAGACTGCAGCTGTGCTTCTGTTAAAGTAGTATTAAGTGATGGGTTTTAAATCCTTCTGCCAGCTCGAGCTGTAAGCACCGAGACTCCTGTGCAGGGATGGCTCAGCCTGGGTGATGTGTTCCCAAGCAGGAGAGCTCTGGTTAATGAATAATGAAAGCACCATGGCACAATCACAGCTCAGGGCTCACTCCTGCAGGAAGCTCTCTGGGGAGAGCTCCCCGTGGAGCTCCCTGTGCCACAGCAACCCAACTGCAGCTCAGACTGTGGATAACTGTGACAGGAAAGAACACAAAATGCCCATGGACAACTTTACCTGCATGGACAAAGTGCTGAGGTGTCCAGTCGAGCGAGGGGCTTGTCCAGCCAGCCCTGGTGTTGTCCCTCCAGGCATCAGGAGTGCACACCATGCCCTGACTTTACTGCACAGACTCCCAGCTAGCTAAAAAAATATGCTATTAAAAGCTGAGCCAACCTTGAGTGGGACATACAGGCTTAAACTGCAGCAGGAAGAGATTTATGGGCTTGTTTTTGCAGCCTAGGGAGTAATTGAAGAGGCCTCAGACAATTCAGCATTTACTGGCACTTGACTGGGGTGAGATGGGAAGGGTGATGGGAGTGAGATTGGCACTGGGAGCCCCAGCCATGGAGCAGGGACCCAGCCTGACAGCCACTCTGGGAACAAAAAGAAGCTTTGCAAAGTCAGTATGCTTGTAAGATAAGCACAGCACTGATAAAGTGAAGCACTTAAAGATTAAAAAACTCAAGAGAACGATATAAGTGGCTGAAGGAAAGAACCCAGGAATCCTGGCTGTCCCTTCCTTCAGCCCAAAATTCATCACTTTAGAGATGGTTTCTTGACCAGTTATATAAAGCACATTTACCTGGTTCTGTTCCTTATGGATTCTGTTTGCTTTGTTTCCTTTAGGGATCTACAAAGGACATTGTTTCCGGATCAACCACTTCCCTGAAGACAACGACTACGACCACGACAGCTCAGAGTACCTTCTCCGTAAGTGAGCAGTGATACCTCACACACAGGTGTGGCCACAGGGGCTTCCCTGAGCTTCTCTTCTGCAGAGAGCAACCCCACTTTTACTCACTGCCAGACTGGCCCATCCTGGGCTGCACAGCCCAGTGGTGCCACGTGTCCAGTTCATGCAGAGGCTGACACTATCACCACCCTTGGGACCCCACTTCACAGGGTCATTGAATCAAGGAATGGTTTGTGTTGGAAGGGACTTTAAAGACCATCTAGTTCCAACCCTCTTGCCATGGGGTTTCAAGGATTTTTTTCCAAGGGTTTCCTTCAGCCAGGGGAATGCTCACAATTTTAGTGCTGATTGTCTCTACATCATCTGACAAAATGTCAAATGAAAACTACAGCTATCATGCCCAGATCTGCAAGGACATTTTACAGAGGGAGTATTTATAGGGTTAGTGTAACAAAACAGGTTTGAGGAGTGGGTTCCAGCCCATTAGGAAGCTTTACCAAATGCTTAAATCCAACCCTTACTCAAGCCTCAGCCTTTGCAGCTGGTGAGCCACATCCTCCTACAGTGAAATTACTGCACGGTAAGAAGGAAGCTGAAATTTCTGCAGCTAACAGCAAAATCCCAGCATGAACAGGGACCATGGCTTCCCTGCCTGGCCAGCCAGCCACTGCTGCTCCAGGCTGGCATTTAATCCCCCCAGAAGGGATTCCAGCCACCAACCTGGTGCTTGGAATCAGGGTAGTTGTTTCCTCCCCTCCACATGACCATTCTCTCAGCTGATGGCAGGCCTTGGAACCCAACCATGAAGTCTGCAAAGTTGGAGTTAGATTGCCCTTCCCCAGAGGACTCCTTGCCTTGTTCCTTGTGAAGGAAAGAGCTGAGCAGCCAAGCTGAAAGCAGTGCCCTTTACAGAGAGAGGAACTGCAGCTCACAAGGTGTTGGGAAATCAGGGAGCAGAGAACAACACTGCTGGCAAGGCAGAGAACTCCTCAATTACAATATTAATTACCTGACACACCACTTAGAGAACCACTCTGCCCTTCTGCTCACTTCTGGGCAACAACTTCTTGTTGCTAAGACATGGAGAAGGAAAAAAATCTCTGAAAAGTTTGCCTCACCAGAAAACCCAGATGTTTTTTTCCTCTTTGCTCTTGTCAATTTAGATCAGTCATAGCACCGGGGTGACACGATTTTAGAGCTCAGGCAAAGGCAGAGTGTGAGCACAGCTGAATTTATCTTTCATACAAAACCTTGGAACTAATGTTAAATTGATGTCAAGTCAACTTTAGGAAACAAACATCATTAGTAAAAGGAAGGAGGAATTAAGTAGCATCTTGATAAAAACACATTATGCCTTCTTTATGTGGAGAAAAGTGAGAACTGGGAAAAACACTCTCCAGCTCCATGTTAATCTACGAGACTGGTAAATTGTTTGTAACTGTGCTTGTGATGGGTATTCCTAAAAGCTTTTTGCAAAAGTGACTAAGTACAGATTTTAAAAACAAGTTGGTCCAACCCTTTATGTCTTCTGCAAAATCAGTCTCCGGTGTCTCCCCCACAGAGCAGAGCTCACCTCACAGAGTCTGCATGGAGACCAGGCTCCTTGACTTTGACTTTCATAAGAAAACTGCAGTTTCCCATGCTCAGAGTTGATTTAGAGATTACTGAAAGGTAACATGTCTAAATCCAGAAGAGATGAGCTCATACCTGTATGTAATAGGGACCAAATCATTGTCTAAGACAGGAGGATATTTGCATCCTGTTTCACAGAGACGTGAGAGCTTCTGTCCTGTTTTTGCCCTCTGCAACACTTTTGCAGTCTACTGGCTCTATTCTCCACTATTTCTGGCCATTTCTTGGCACAGTTTCTCAGAGGGACATGTTGGGACTAATATTTATTTTTCCTGCCTGGCTTAGACAGAGGCACCCACACTCATGTATTTTGTGCTCCTAAAACAGCAGCGTGAGGGTCTCAGGCTCTTTCACAGCCCCCACATTAACTTGGGCTTCTGAGAAATGCAAACACTGTAGTGCCAGCAGGATCGAGCCCTGGTTCAAAACCCTATGGAAATCAGTGACAAAAATTACTGATTTTGGGAGACTGGTCTAGGGAATGGGTAGAAGCAGGATTTTGGATTTTGCCCTTTGATGTTCAAGCTGCTCCCTGCGAAACCAAGCAAACGAGAGCGTGGGACAAGCTGACACGTGCAGAGGAGCTCAGACAAGACCCTTCCTATTGAAGCATTCCCCGTGGCAACACACGCCCATCTGTGTGTCTAAAAAAATCCCCCTCACATGCCTGAGCAGGGCCCCAGCAAGCAGCAGATGTCCCAGTGCCAGCACAGACCCCCGGCTGGCACCACATCCCCAGCGGCAAACGTGCCCCGGCTTCCCTGGGCCCTGGCTCCTGCTTCCCTGGTCCTGCTTCCCTGGTCTCCTGCTTCTCCATCTCCTGCTTCCCTGGCTCCTGCTTCTCCATCTCCTGCTTCCCTGGTCTCCTGCTTCTCCATCTCCTGCTTCCCTGGCTCCTGCTTCCCTGGCTCCTGCTTCCCTAGTCTCCTTCTTCCCCATCTCCTGCTTCCCTAGTCTCCTGCTTCCCTGGTCTCCTGCTTCTCCATCTCCTGCTTCCCTGGTCTCCTGCTTCCCCATCTCCTGCTTCTCTAGTCTCCTTCTTCCCCATCTCCTGCTTCCCTAGTCTCCTGCTTCTCCATCTCCTGCTTCCTTGGCTCCTGCTTCCCCATCTCCTGCTTCCCTGGCTCCTGCTTCCCTCTCTCCTTCCCATTCCTGCTTCCCTCTCTCCTGCTTCCCAATCTACTGCTTCCCTCTCTCCTGCTTCCCTGGTCTTCTGATTCCCTGGCTCCTGCTTCCCTCTCTCCTGCTTCCCTGGTCTCCTGCTTCCCTCTCTCCTGCCTCCCCATTCCTGCTTCCCCATTCCTGCTTCCCCATTCCTGCTTCCCTCTCTCCTGCCTCCCCATTCCTGCCTCCCTCTCTCCTGCCTCCCTCCTCTCCCGCATCCCTCTGAGCACACAAACCCCGAGCTGCCCCCGCCCAGCACCGCACGAAGCAGGGGCGCCTCTCCCTTTGCCGAAGGGGAATCTCATCCTCGCTGTGCTGTGCTGGGGGTGTCGGGGCTCTGAGCAGGGGGACCCTGCTTCAGGGGCATCTCTACGCTTTCATGCCCTTCCTCCCTGCATGCTAGAGCATCCTCTCTTCAAAGCCATTCCCTCGGCTCCTGCCTTTCTGGAGATTAAAAGCCCGAGCCGAGCAGGGTTTGCAACCCCATGGGGAGGAGCAGGGCTCCACCGAAGGAGGTGTCACCACACATAGCGGTGCACAGCGGGCGATGCGAACCGACAGGACGGTAAACAAGGGCGGGAGAAAAGCCAGGGAGAAAGCAAAAACCAGATTGCCTTAATGTTTTTTGATGTGCTGTCACTTTATTACCAGTATCAGGAGACATATGTAAATTCTACGTGGTACCTTATGAGCTTCCTTTGAAATTTCAGAGCTAAAAGTACACATTGTAAGAAAAAATATACTGTAGAATTTTTTCAGGGAGAGAACACTGTATTTTGTTTCTCTTTGCATCAATTGCCTACTATAGAAAAATTATCTCTGAAGATTATTAGTACAAATAAAACAACCCAACCCCTATGTTTGATACATCTGACAGGTTCCTTCTAATGACATCACTGAAACATTTTGGGAAAACTCTTTGATTTAACTGCAATAATTATAAAACATCATGACCATAAAGTGCAGGAAAAAATAACCAGATAGGGTGGGCCAGAGGCGATGTTAAGCCTTTAACCAGGGCACAAAAACAGACAGACAGAGATTTGGGGTGCCTTAAAGTCCAGCAGCAGAGACTGACTTTGAATCTAACAATTTCTAACAATTGACTGAGAAAAATGACCCAAAAGCCAAAGTGCTGTTAATTCTTACCACACACGTGGGGATACCCAGGCCAAGGGAGCAGGCTTTGAGCAGAGAGAGACCTTACAGCCGCTGACACCGGCTGGCTTTGGCAGCTCCTGCGAGACGCTCCCTGAATAGCAATGCGCCCGCCTGGCCCGGCTTCAGATCCGGCTGGAAATGCCCCATCTGTGAAGGACACGTGCAGCGACGCTGCCGCTTTGGGAAAGGATGGACTTTTCTCCCTCTTGCAGATCGGCAGAGGCAGAAGCTTCCCAGGATTGCTGGGTTTGTGTTCTCACCCCTGCGGGGCTGGGAGCGGCGCGGGTGCGGAGCCGCCCGCCCCGTCCCTCCCGCAGCACCGGGAGCTCTGCCACCGGTTACCGGGGGAAACGTTCGGAAGCGATTCCCTGAGTGGGGAACGCCACGGCCACGGAGAGCGGAACTCGAAAGCCGCAGCTGGAACATCTGCCCGTGTCTCCCGGGAAGCGGGCGCCGCTCGCCGCGCGTGGCGGCCGGGAGGATGCGCCCGCAGACACCGCGGCGCTCCCGGCCCCGCACGGCCCAGATGGCGTTTGCTCCTCTCTCACTCAGCCCGGGCCTCCCTCCGCTGAGGGCTTTCCATGCTGCTGTGACAGCAGCCCCTGACTCCCCCTCGCTTTGGGATCCCCCAGCCTGGCGCCCCTTGCTGTGCCAGCGCTCCCCTCCGTGCCCTGCCTTTCCCCAGCTTCAGGGTGATCCCATTTTCCACAGCAGTATTCAGTTCCTTATCTCCCCTTCTTCAAAAAATAAATCCTCTCTCTACAGCAATAAAACTCGGTTCCTCACTCTGCCTTTCAAGAACCCCTGCCATCTATTACCCCTTTGGTTTTTACAATACAGACATCTCTCTTCTTATGCTTGTTTATTTTTTCTCAGCCCCAGTCGATTGCTGCTCTGTCTTGTTGTGACCCGACTTTGAAAGCTGGCTTGAAGTCATGTTTTAATATTTTTGTGGGGGGTTTTATACGCTGATGAATGGACTGAAGCATGCAGAATTTTAAATTACTACTTTGCTGTCGGGAAACTAAACACAAACATCTAAGACACACTTGTTAAAATCCCTTCCTTAGAAATCTGAAAGGTTTCGATGTCCCTAATATCCAGCAAAAGAAAAAGGGGTTATTAGCTGTGCTTGCTAGCAACGTGGATGCTGCTGACTTCAAAAGCTGTAATTTGCTCACCTTGTTTGTGCACCACAGAACAGATCCGCCTGCTCCAGCTGTCCCAAACCTTGTAGGCTTCATAGCCAGCTCATGAATTTTTCACTGCTGCTCCCTGCGTGGTGCTGGGTCTTACTGTCACTTATCTCATGCTTTGCCAGAAATATTCTGCACACGGTGGCATCAGAAGATGCCAACAATGCTGGACTTCCTGGGAGAAAGCTCAAAAGACTGAAGCCCCTCATTTGAGAGACTGCGTCACTCTGGCCACCTCATGGCTTCGTTGTCCCAAAAACACACCCAGAAATGCAGAATCAGTGAAAATTCTAGCAAAAACGAATAAAAAATATAAGTTAGATATTAGGAAAATTTTCTTCACTGAAAGTGTTACGAAGCACTGGAACAGGCATCCCTGAGTATGTTCAAAAAATGTGTGGATGTGGCTGACACTCAAGGATATGCTTTAGTGGTAAGCATGGTGGAGGTGCTGGTTTCACTGTTGGATTTGATGATCTTAAAGGTCTTTTTCAACCTTAACAATTCTCCGGTTCTATTAAATCATTCTTCTTAACAATTTTAGGAAAAAAACAGGGCTTTTGAGACTCTGATCTCCACACTTGCACCCGAGGAGGCACCCAAAATGATTGTTCTGTCTTCCCTTCCTCCCTGTCTCCCTGCAGGCATCGTCCGTGCCTCCAGCGTGTTCCCCATCCTAAGCACAATTTTGCTGTTGCTGGGAGGACTCTGTGTCGGAGCAGGAAGGATTTACAACAGCAAAAACAACATTATTCTCAGCGCTGGGATTCTCTTTGTGGCAGCAGGTATGTTCTGTTTAAATTGAGTTCTTAAGGAGTGCTGCTGTTTTCAGCTGGAAAAGATTCTGGAAAAGCTCCTTGGCAGTGCTTTCCCTGGATCCCTTTCCTGGACTGAGGGCATTAACAACACCACACCAGGCAAATTTCTCAAGACAAAATCATGCTCTTGAAGCCCCACAATAAGTATATTCTATAAAAGCTTTTGGTTTTCCTGCAGAAGGAAGCGAAATTCAGTAACAAGCATGTTTTACACTATTTAAAATGTATCAAACATTAGATAAATCAGGCATCTCTTATACCTAGGGCCTTTTTTTTTAATATGAAGGCAGAAAACATTCACCTCTGATAGGTCAGCCCATTTTTCACATCTGAGAGAGTCAGCCCCATTGTTAATGGCTCTCCCTGCAGCCTGGATTAAACATGCAGCATTTAGATGAAAATTCAACAAGGTGGAAGAGAACTTATTTTGATCAAGGTAAACAGCCATAGCCCTAAGCTCCAAATGTATTTTTATCATTCCTCTGGATGTTAGAATCCCACTCACAATATTAGCAAGCTCTCACAAGCTGCTGCTTTTCCACTGTGGCGATGAAGAGATGGGAAAAAGTCCTGCTGAGTATTTTGGGATCCATGTGAGCACATGTGATCCATATGTTGATCTATTGGTTGTGTTTCAGGAATAAATGAGTCCTTGAGATAAATGTAAGAGTAAATAAATGTAATGAAATTTCCTTGCCCCAGTCTTAGAACCATTCAGGCCCAGAAAGTAACATAGCTTGAATTTTATCTCCCCAGCCACATAAACACTGATTAATGTTTTTCTTCCTCCAGGTCTAAGTAATATCATAGGGATCATTGTCTACATATCGAGCAATGCAGGTGACCCAAGTGACAAGCGAGACGAGGACAAAAAGAACCATTACAACTATGGCTGGTCTTTTTATTTTGGAGCCTTGTCTTTTATTGTGGCCGAAACCATAGGTGTTCTGGCTGTGAACATTTATATTGAGAAGAACAAAGAGCTGAGGTTTAAGACCAAGAGGGAATTCCTTAAGACTTCTTCCAGTTCTCCTTATGCCAGGATGCCAAGCTATAGGTACAGGAGGCGGAGGTCCAGATCCAGCTCCCGCTCCACGGAGCCTTCTCCGTCCAGGGACATTTCTCCAGTTGGCATGAAGATAGCAGGCACCATCCCCATGAATGAAATTTCCATGTACACCCTTTCCAGGGAGCCTTTGAAGGTTACCACGGCTGCCAGCTACAACGCAGACCAAGAAGCCAGTTTCCTGCAGGTCCACAACTTCCTCCAGAAGGAATTTAAGGAAGGACTCCACGTCAACATGGTCAACAGGAGAACGACGCCAGTTTGAAGCACCTTCCTTCCTCGTGCTTTTTGAAGAGATGCCCAAACAGAATGGATCTGTCAGGAGCGATGTTAAAATACCCTCTCACCTCTTTAATTGTGGCATGTGTTGAGGTAGCAAGTGGAGATCCTCTGGACCAACATAAAGATATTTACACGCTCGTAGCTTTTTTTGAAGCTATTTGGAGTTTGTTTATTTCCGTTCTTGGTGTCACAAGATGAAGGCAGTTCATGTTCCTGCACTTTTGTAGTATGTACACAGTCTTGGAGAAATTGCAAAGGACTGGCCACCAGTGTGTTTTAAAGGATTACAGAAAATTTGTTGTACTTTTTTTTTTCTAATATTGAGATCCCTTAATACAAACTTGCAAATATAATTTATAACCAAGCCCAAGGATGAAAATGAGCTACTCATCAAGTGAGCCACTTTCCTTCGACACGGCGTAAGCTTTGCCTCTTTCAAAATAAAAAAAAAAAGAAAAAAGAAAAAAAAGAAAATATTTTTGAAGGCAACACTTTCTAAAACTGACCTGTGCCACTGAAACCGTAGAGCACCCACGTACTGAGCATTACAGACTCTCTGATGGGGTGGGAAGGGGGTCTCCCATTCCTGGGGTAAGGCATCCCTTGGGGCAACACAGGCCAAGGAGCAGAGGGTGGGTGCGTCTTGAAACGCCTAGAAAGGGGAAAAAGATTAAAGTAGGTGGGACTTGAGCCTATTTGCAAGTGTCATTTCTTGCCTAACGTTTAGAAAACTTGAATTCTCATCTCGACGAGCCCTAGTGCCTGATCCAGCAAGGTGCTGAGTGCTGGCTGTCAGGAGCCCCCGGAGACTTCCCCGAGCGCGGCGGGGAGCGGGGCTGAGCCGCCGCTCCCCCGGCACCGCGCTCCCGATTTCCTTACGCTTCACAAGTGCAACAC